ACACACACACACACACAGAAACACAACACACGCACACACATAGAGACACAACACAAACACACACACACACACAGAAACACAACACACGCACACACATAGAGACACACACACACAGAAACACGCACACGTGGCACATTATGTGCAAAAAATATAAATATTGTTGTTTATTCACATAAAACCATATTAACGTTTTTTACCTGATCAGCTGCTCCTGAGAAAGATCGATGGAAAAATCAATCTGACTGAGACGAGACACTGACTTCCTTCTGCCTACACACACACACACACACACACACACACACACACACACACACACACAAGTTATAAGAACCATAATGAGAAAGAAGCCGACTTGATTCTCTCAGAAATGTTAAAGTAAAATCTTCTGAAACTTGACAAAGTGACAGTGATGGTCAACATGAACAAGAGGGAGGTGAAATATCGGTGTCACGTCTCAGGGAATGTTTAGAAATAATAGTAGTTGTGTTCCTGTGGTTAGTTGTCGTCCTCTGGTTAGTTGTCGTCCTCTTGTTAGTTGTGTTCCTCTGGTTAGTTGTGTTCCTCTTGTTAGTTGTGTTCCTGTCATTGTTCTCACTCTTGTCTTGGAGTGTGGTTCTTTCTCGACTGTGTTTTCCACTGAAGGTTTGGATTAATTTGGCGAAGGTTCCTTTTCTGTCCATCAGCTCCGTGTAGGAGCCCGACTCAGAGATCCGACCGTCGTCCATCACCAGGACCAGGTCGGCTTTCGACAGGAAACCGAGGCCGTGAGTCACCAGAACTCGAGTCTTAAAAACAAGACGTTTAAATAAGCTTAAACAATAAAACTTATTTAAAACACTTTTTTAAACACGTACGTCATCATCACAACAAACCGTTAAATACAACAACACTTTCTAAACAAAAAAAAATATTTTTGTTATTTACAACTTTCTCTGAAGAAGAATGGAGCAAAGAGTCATGGGAAATGTCTCACCTTGTCTTTAAGAATCCCTCTGGGTCCAATAACTCGATCAAAGATGTGTTGTCCCACATGAGCGTCAACGGCCGACAGTGGGTCGTCCAACAAGTAAACATCGGACCTCCTGTAGACGGCTCGAGCCAGACTCACCCTCTGCTTCTGACCTCCAGACAGGTTCAAACCCTGCGGTCAGTGAACGCATCGTCAGTAAGCTACTGGACAAATGCACCATCAATATACTGTGCTCCTGAACGCATCATCAGTAGGTGGGGCTGGGTGGGGTTGGGGTGGGTGACGGTACCTTCTCTCCGATCTCGGTGGCGTCTCCGGCAGGAAGCAGGTCGAGGTCCGGCAGCAGAGCGCAGGCGTCCAGCACACGATGATACCAGCTCTCCTTCCTCTCTCCACCAAACAAAATGTTTTCCTTCACTGATGCATTCTGGACCCAAGACTGCTGAGGGACATAACCCACCGAGCCCTGCACACACACACACACACACAAAGAGAGACACACAGTAAAACATTAATCACAAAGAAAGAATCAATTATAAAACACGTTTCTTTAAACTCACCTTGATGGAGACAAAGCCACGCCTCCTCTCCATCTCTCCCAACATGGCCGACAGAAGAGACGACTTCCCTGAGCCGACGTGACCGACCACAGCGACGAGAGAACCCGTCTTCACCTTCACATGGATCCTCTGCAGACATGGAGAATCCTCAGGGGACCAGGAGAAGAAGCCGCCCTCGATCACGACAGCGTCACCGTCTATGGAGGAACACGCGGAAATAACATGTTTTGTGGATTTACAGAAACTGAATTCATCTTCAGTCACTGAAGGTTCAAATAAATTACAAATCTTCAGTTATAAATAAAGTTGGTTTAAAAAAGACTTTCTTTTACGTCTTTCTTTCAACTTTCAACTTTTCAAAAAGTTGTGGTTAGAGAGAAGATTTTTTTTATCTTTACCTAAAATGACTGAATCGTTAGAAACAACTTAATCAACATCACCACCAGGGGGCGATGATTTGGCTTCACTCATCGTACCTTTGCTGTGATGAAGTCTTTCCACGTCGTCAGGTCGAAGTTCATCTAGACACAGGAAGTCTGTCAGACGTCGGAGCGAGATGACGGCCTGATTAAAAAAAACAAAAGAAATATTATTCATCAACATTTCATATAATGTTTTCTAAGACTCAAAGAGACAAAGACTCAAAGAGACAAAGACTCTGACCTGCATGGTCGTGTTCATGGCGAAGGGAAGTTGACTCAGAGGAGTTTTCAGGATGTTGATGAGAGCGACGGAAACAAAGATCTTCTGAGCATCAAGAACGTTTCGCTCATCGAACAAAACGTAGACGCCGAATACAGAGGGGGGGGGGGGGGGGGGGGGGGGGGGGTGGAAAACAAGGATCACATGACACAGATGTGGGACCAGATGTTTCTGTGATGTTGAAGCGGACGTTGGACAGATGCTGGACTCTGTACAGATGTTCAGGCAGATGTGCGACTCACCAGGAAGGAGGAGGAGTTGAATGAGGCCAGAGAGACGGAGTAGAGGATCTGAGATTTCTTCAGGGCGTTGAGTTCTCCGTCTCTCAGGACGCCGACGCGTCGCAGGAACGCTTCCTCCCACGAATAGAACTTGAGGATCTTGATGCCGCTCAGGATCTCGCTCATCAGCTTGATCCGACCGTCCATGAACTTCATCTGAACCTCCTGACGGACGACGATCAGAAAATAAAACTACTAAACAATCGCAAACATTTGGTTTGAAGAGAAAAAAGTTTTCTCACCTGAAGTTTGCTTCTCATTTTAGCCAAAACTCCGTTAAGAGGAAAAATCAGGATGACGGCCGTGATCCCAGCGAGAGCCGGAGGACCGAGCAGCTGTTAATCAATCAGTCAATCAATCAATCAATCAATGATGATGTTGATGTCTTCACATTTATAATATTTAATATTTATGTTTATATTTACTTTTGCATTTACAATGTTTGTGTTTCTAATGTTTACATTTATATTGTTTGTTCATGATGTTTGTGTTTACGTTTACCTGCCACAGGAAGTAGAAGCACAGTGAGATTTCGATGGGTGCGATCCAAACACTGTTGAAATAAACAACAACGTCCATCAGCTTCTGAGCATCGGCTGAAACCAGATTAATAATTTCCCCCAAAGTGACTTGTCGCCGTGCAGCGCTGCTCATCACCAGACTCTGAAGATTCAAAGACACAAAACTTTAGTCACAACTTTACTCATCGCCGTGGTGATCTGACACCAGCCTGAAAGTGTCTTTGTGTTTTCCAAAATAAAAGGTTAATTAATTTAATTGACATTTAAGTTAATTATGAATTCGGTTTAGTTTGTTTGGGGTTAGGGTCTTTGTGTTGTCTGTCTCTCACCTGTCTGTCTCTCACCTGTCTGTCTGTCACCTGTCTTACCTTCTTGTAGATGAGTGCGATCACACTCGTTTTCAGTCTCATTCCGACGGTGAAGCAGTGAATCATGTACTGATGATTGAGGACGGACTGAAGACACGACAACAGGAAGAGAAGCGACGCAAACAGGAAACCTTTCCAAGTCTCCGCCTCTTTGTCCCGCATGAAGACCAGCAGACAACTGTAAACAACAAACAATATCAAAGTAAACAACAAAGTAAACCTCATCCTCACCTGACGTCCCGTCATCTCATCATCAGATAAACGTGTTCACGTTGTTCCATGTGACTGCAGGTGTTGCTGTTTCTGAAGGTGTCCTGACGTCACCTCTACGACTCACCTGAGCACCTGTGGCACGGCGAACATGAAGGCGTCGTGGAGGAGGAGACACAGTGTACCCTGCAGGAAGTAAGGCCCAAAGCTCCGCCCCAGAGCACGTATAAGGAAGAGGCTGTAGCCCCGCCCCTTCCTCTTCTCCTTCAACAGGTGAGTTTTTTCAGTCGGTCCAGCAAAACCAATCAACCGGGACCAGAATGGTCCAGAAGCTCCAGGCTCCTCCCTGCAGCACGGACAGTCGAGGATAATAAAACACACAACACACATGTTCTAATATTCCTCCGTTTCCTGTTCGCTCAACTGTTTCCAGAAGTCATCCAGGCTTTAATTTGTTTAAATACTCAGCGTGAAAGTTCGTACTGCATCTGTTTCCTGTTCTGAGTCCAGAACTTCTCCAAGTCTGTCATGATCCGCATCGATGAGTCCTGTTCTCGCAGTGGCCACAGATCTGCAGCCTGCAGGGGGCGCTGGTAACCCTGGACCACCAAACTGACAGAGAGATGAAACATGACTGTTAACCAACGGTTAGCCGGGAATATTTCTAAATTCTCACTTCGAGTTTCAGCTTGAAGTCACGGAAATAAAATAAAAGTGTTGGGGGTTAGTTCAGGGTTAAGACGTTAAGTTGAGTCGAGTTAGTGAGTTGAGTCAAGCTGAGTCATGATGTTCGTACCTGCTGAACCAGAAGAAGAAAAACTTTGAAAGAAACGAGGCGTCTGCCTCTGGACATTGGTTCTAACGAGAGAAGGTTACAGTCAGATTTAACCAACTACAACGAACTTTCTATCAACTTTTACGAACCTCAGATTTAACATATTTAATGAGACACAATGACGTAGACATGTGTGTCACCTGGACGTGAGTGTGTGCTTCCAGATGTGTCCGTCGATCTGAGAAGCAGCAGAGAACGAGTTCGATGAGTTGGATGAAAAAACAGATGAAGAACGCGGTGAAACGAAAAGCATCTGATGAAAACCCCTGAAACAGCAGAGAGCAGAGGTCAAAGGTCAGAAGGCTTCATCATCATATTAATGTTTGTCATCATCATCATGTCTTCTTCATCATCATCTTCATCGTCGTCCTCTGTTGTTGAGTTTGTTCCACCGACGTCAACAGAAATAAGCAAACTTGAACTTTCCGTTTCACATGAACTGTTTTCTATGAAACGATGAACTTGAGTTCAGGTGGTAGGTTAGAGTCCGATCGTGACATTCCACACGTCATGGACACAAAAACAGTCTCCGTCCGTCATCATGTGATTTGTGTGACTGTCAAAGACAGAAACAAGGAACCAACAGGAGTTCAGAGCAGGTTGATATGAAAAAATAAAATGTGTCGGTGACAAACAAACAGCAACAGAACCAATCTGGTGTCAAGGGGGACACACCTGAGGACACCTGCTGGTATGAGGACAGACATGTCAGGTAACGGAGACACTGCTGCCACTGCTGCCACTGCTGCCACTGCCCATGAGCAAGACAGTGACCTCAGAGCTGAACCTACACCGTCAGGTCATCAAAACATCCTCCCGCCCTTGATTAGGAAAAGGTTTCTACTGATCCTGATCCTGAACCTGATCAGACAGATACCTGATCAATAATCTGCTCGATGTTGACCTTCAGAGGAACGATGGAGCAAAGAACCAGAAGTGTCCAGAAGAGGAAGAGGATGACCGAGGAACGACAGCCCTTCATCCTCTCGACCTGGATTATAACAACAGCCAGAACCTGAGGAACAATCAGACAGTGGACGATCAATTGATCAGCTGATTGACTGATTGATCAATGCCCCATGGAATCCAGAACACGCATGAAGGAGTCATGACGTACCAGAGTGAGGCTCCGAATCATTGGACCCAGCAGGATCAGCAGGTGGTTCTGGATCTCGTCGTTCTTCTTCACGAAAAAGTAAAACATCTCCAGGGGACCAAAGGAGGCCAAGCTGAAACCAAGGAGCTGCAACAGGGTCCCCAAAGTCACAGGTTAGACCACCATGACCCAGGTTAGTCCACTCAAATCGAGGTTAGTCCGCTTAGACCCAGATTACACCACAAAGTTTAGTTTTCTTACCGTCTTGCTGCAGCAGAGTTTGGACAGTGGGATGACGCCTCGGTACGGGCGTAGCTGCAGGTAGAGCAGGTAAAGAGGAGAACAGGTCCACAGGTAAACGCAGGGGAACCACACCAGAGCCGTGTGCTGAAAACACTGGGTCAGGTCTGGTTTGGAGGTGTACCAGGTCAGGTTCCAGTCCTGAATCAGAAAACCACGGTGATATGTCACTGATACATGATGTCACTGATACATGATGTCAGTGATACATGATGTCAGTGATACATGATGTCACTGACACTGAGATTAACTCGGACTCAGACACTGAACATCTGAAAATGTTGAATCAAACTTCATGCGGTCGAATCAGATTCAGGTTCATATCAATGAATCAATGATTTTAAAGAAGATGTTTCGTTCAAACATTTTGCGTCCTCTGTTTTTCTGGTTGAATGAGATATTTTACATAATTACATGAAACATGATTAAATATGAAACTCACCCAGAACGGATCCAGACCACTCACACTGCACAGCTCCTCCATTTCTTCTTCTTCACTCTTCCTCTTCTTCTCCTTCTTCTACAAATTGTTACCAAGTAAAACCAAACTAAACCCTGCCAAGAGAACACCACGTCTCAATCTCTCTCTCTCACTCTCTCGCTCTGTCTCTCTCTCTCACTCTCGTTCTGTCTCTCTCTCTCTCTCTCTCTTACTCTCACTCTGTCTCTCTCTCTCCCTCTCTCCCTCTCTCCGTCTCTCTTTCTCTCTCTCCCTCTCTCTGAATATTTCTCCGTCCCTCTTTGTTTACTCATCTTTAAATATAATGTAATTACATTTGAACGTGATATAATGTGTAAATGTTATATATAATATATTGTTATAAATATGAATAATGTTTATTTTCTTATTGTAAACGTAATTTCAGACACGAAAACAAGTAAAAAATAAATCGAACAGCAGTGTGAGGCATTCTAACGATAACATGTTCACAAGGCAAAAATGAATTTTGGAAGGTCACTGTGACCTTGACCTTTGACCTCCAAATGCTATTCAGATCCAACTTGAGTCCATGTTGTTTTCGGTCCATGAGAACAAAAGTTGGAGAAACAGCAGCTGCAGCTGTTCGTCACGCTCTGTCTCTGAATTCAACACGAGGCTGTGAATCGTGTCGTTTTTAAACTTCAGTGATGAGCTGTGACGTCAGAGGACAGTTTGTCCTTTAACACTCGTCAGGTTGTTCTGATCTGATCTGTTTGTAAAATTAACACACAATCACTGATATGAAATTATTACTCATGTTTAATTAATGATGTGTTAGTATAATACACAATTAAGTACTGATACATGAGTATAACTCATATTAATATTATTTCTTTCATCAGTCTGAAAATCAAAACACAAAAAACA